TCCTGAATTATGGCAATGGCTCTTCCAAAACAAACCCTATGTGACTTTAGTTCTCTAGTGATGGGATGCAGAGAGTTTCTGTATTTTCAGCTAGGGTTGCTTGGGGACCATAACCCTCTATTTATATAGAGTATCAATTTCTAATTCGGCCCTTCATCAAATTAGAAATTACTAAAGGTATCCACATATTAATATTTCATAACACTTATGCCCATAGCCTTTTACTTTATTATAAATGTGACCACTATAGAATTAGGCTAATTAATTAATGACCCTAACACATTTGATATTAACATATGTGACCCCACTTAATGATCTTACAGTCACTTCCTCCTAGCGTGCTCGGAAGACATAATCAAGACCCAAGAGACTCTAGATGTCGGAAGGTTCAGTGGGAAAAACACTTCTCGTTGAAGAGAGTTGAGAGAGCTCAAACCCATTTGCCGGATACGACGTTCCTCCCAGCACAGAGAATTTTAAGTTCGTCTTCAGAGGATAACGAAGCGATAATAGGCAAGAGGAGAAAATTATGCGAGACAACATTAGAGGAAGAAAATTGAGTGGAATTGACTTTTCCTTTCAATTCCTCTAAAAATCAACCATATAGGTTGAATTTATTTCCCTTCAAATCTCACTGGATCCCACCAAATCAGAGGGAAAAAAAACCTTATTTTTCTACAAATGTTACTCCTCAAAAGAGGAGAGGAACACGGTCGAACAAAATGTTGATTTCTCTATAATTTTCCATTTAATTAGTATCCTTCCCATTAAACTAATTCACCACCATTTGCACCCAAAACCTTTGGTTTCATCCGAACNATTAACCCTTGGTGATGAAAATAGGCAAAATGTCTTGACTCTCCCTTCCGTTATTAGACCTTCTGTCTCAACGTTGTCCAAGCACACGGATAAACAAACGTTATGCATCCATTTTTTTAAGTTTTTCATTACTCAGACCTATAAGCATATAAGGGAAAAGTTGCCTCTGTTATTAATTTAATAAATAAAATTTATGTTATTAAAAATGATATCAACAATATAAAGAATAATGCCATAAGTCTCTCAGCAATTTTTTTTTTAAATGCTAAATTTATCGATTAACAAAAAAAATAATATCTACGAAATTTGGTACAAATCAAAATGGAAGAAAACAAATCATAGTTATGACATTAGTATTTCTTTATAGAACTACTTTTTCGAATACTTTAGTTTGTAAATCCTATATTTTGCTTTTTAGAATACTTTAGTTTGTAAATATCCTATATTTTCATATTTGACATCATAGTGTTAGTTTTTATTAAATTTGCTGATTTTAAAATCCACACCTGCTATTTTAGAAATCCATTCAAAACAAATAAATCATCTTCGTATTTGAGCATTTGTATTTTCAAAAATGATTTTTTCAGATTTGTTTAAATCCAATATAAATTGAAAATCTTGTTCAAAACAAAAAATATCAAATATTAATAGCACTAAATTTTAGCTGGTAGTTATAGAACAATAAGCCAATAAACGTGATGATTAGGATTAACTTCGAAATCAACTAAAAAATACATTAATGAATTCTCTTTAGATATTCTTTATATCTGGATATTGTGATACTCATTTCATCATGTATATGTTTGATTGTAACCGAACACACGTGTAATA